ATTTGACTAAGAAACCTTCGCTTTACTGTAACACTGCATCACAGAGAAATCACAATGATATTAAGCAGGCGTCCGAACATGTGTGCCCTTTTAATCAGTGGGAAGTTATCTGTATAACTCTTATACGACATGAACAGTATATAACATGCCAAACTGTCAGCACCAGGTTTGATCACGATTTTGGATATATTGAAATAGAAATGAAAGCGTGCATTGAAGTTCAGAAGTACAGTTATATACCGATAGATTATGGTTATAATATATTGATATTAATAAAGGTTTGGCATAGAGAACTTTTGGGAGGACCTTGGTGATATTCAATAATTTTTCTAAAAATTTTATTTATTTATTTATTTATTTATTTATTTATTTATTTATTTATAACTAAAGGGAAAGGGAGGCAGAGAGGGAAGCATCAATGTGCGGTTGCCTCTCGTGTGCCCCGTTCTGGTGACCTTGCCTGCAACCCAGCCATGTGCCCTGACTGGGAATCGATCCCGTGACCCTGTCGTTTGCTTCCAGCATCTATCTGCTGAACCACACAAGTCAGGGCTGATATTCAATACTTTTGCTTTTATACAACCCGTGTGTGTTGTATTATTCACAACTCAGTGACATGCCCTTTAGTGATATATAAAAGGAGCCAGCAAAGTAGACCATGGGAGGTACTCCTTTCTGGGGGGAAGGTGTTTGACCAGAGCCCTTAGGTCTGATCCGGCTCTTCCTATTCCTTTTGGATTATGAAATAATTGGGTGTTGCTTTTCCAGAACAAGTTCCTCCCAAATCATGTGTATTTCCTCCACTTTAGGCCTCAACTACCCATAGGAATTCATTTCTCCCCTTCCCTTCCCTTGTCAATGCATGGCTCTCATTAGGCTTCTTGAGAGCTGGTGTGTCTGATCCTGCCATCCCCATATCATAAGTGCTGAGAAGGTTTCTGTCCTGCTTCCCCCTCTGGGTCTCTCACTGTGCCGAACACCACTGTACACCAGCCAGCAGTGGTACACGGCCTCGTCCTCAGGCTGGGCCCCTGTGAGGGTCAGGGCAGCTTTGCCCCCAAGGAGGGAGCCTGAGAACCGGGCAGGGGTCCAGGAGAGTTTACCATTTGTATTATAAATCAGTGCCCTGGGGGCTTGGCCAGACTTCTGCTGGAACCAGTATGGATAGTGACCACTGGTGACAGCTCCAGTGCTTGAGGCACAGGTAAGAGTGACTGTCCCTCCTGGAGACACAGTCAGTGAGGGCTCCTGAGTCACCACACCCTGAGACCTGGAACCTGAAAGAAAAACAGTCAAAAGTCAAGAATAAGGAAGGAAAGCAGAGGGATCTCCAAAGGCTCATATCTAATATCCATATTCACCTGGGCAGAGGGTGAGGAGGGGGAGCAGGAGGACCAGAGTCCAGGCCATGGTGGACACTTTCCAAATCGCCTGACCTCAGGCTGGGGCTGCTCTCTGGCTGTCCCTTTATCTCCTCCTCAGCTCCCTGGGTGAGGGGTGTGTTTACTGGGGCATTATGCAAATAGGAGCCCACAGCACCATCCAGTTCTGGGTGCTGGGCCCAGTTTATAGTTCTACTCTCAGCAGGAGGCTGGCTTCGTTGTGAGCTCTGAGTCTCCCCCTTGAGAGGAAGCACCTGCTGTCTCCTCTAACTGAGGCCATGGATGTGGGCACTGGACCACATCCATGAATTAGAACCATTTGGGTTGGTTTCAGGCCTTGCAGCTCTGAGAAGACCCACAGCGCCCCCTGGTGACATCCTTCACAGATGACTCATGGTGTGGGAGCTGTGCAGTAGGAATTGTAGCCTAGTTTTCATTTCAACAATCAATCTATAAACACGTAACAAACAATCAAAATAATCAATAAAGTTTATGCATCCTCCATTCCTCCATTGGTTTATAAAATTGCATCTTTGGTATTTTTTAGTTGTACATTTCCACTTGGTGTCGTTTTACCATATCCCCTTGTATTTGAGTTTCTATCCTTTTTCATTTCTTCCAAGAATGTCTGTATTTGCTGGTTACATGGATTTTATGACTATTGCTGAAGAAATCTGTCACATAATTTAATTATGTGAGTCATTTCTGTGTTGGTTACAGTAGACTTTCTTGGTTTGTTCAAGTTTTCATTTTCCTGGTTCTAGATGTGACCAGTGGTGTCTCTTACCATTTCCAGGACATTGGAGACTGCATTAAAAGCCTCTGTGTCCCATTTCCTCTGTCTTTCACCAGGTTGCCTGCCTGCTGAGCTGTAGCACAGAGGTTTAGGAGTGTGTTCAGCTCTCTCTTGCCCAGCAAAGGTGGAGCACTGACTCCCCAACTTTGTGCTCTGACACCTTCCTGAGGGCAGTAGGGCAGTGACTGTCACCAGCTATTTCCCTTCAAGTTAGGGTGAGTGTTGAGCCTACAGCCAGGCCCTGTGGACTCTGGGAGGGAAGCACAGGGAGGAGGGGAGGTGCTGTGCTCAGTGGGTTGGGCTCCAAGCTCCCTACTGGGTCCCTCCAGTGCAGCACTGACACAAGGAGGGTTGGGGGCTCCTGCATGGCCCACTCGCCTGTCTCCCACCCCTTACTCAGAGTTCTGAATGCCACTGAGTGGTCAAGGCTTAGCTGCTCTCTGCTTCCCACAGCTCTAAGCAAAGGTCACAACAGTGCAGACTAGGTCTGGCTTGTACCCCCTCATCCAGTCCCATTGCTAAGGGATGAAGTTGAAGTTCAGGTTTCCACTGGGTGACCAGAGTCATGGGCGGGAGAACTGCAGTGCTAACCAGCTTCAACTGGCCCTACCTGGCTAAGGCTTATTGAGTTTCTAATGGGAGGGAGTCAGCCTTCCACTGAAGCACCCACACTGTCCTAGCTGGCAAAGGGACACTGTCGACTTGTGCTGGGAGGGAATGCCGGCCAACACCCTGGCCCTTACAGCTCACACCTTGGATGGGGGTGCATGTCAGGGGTTCTATAGTTTGGGAGGGTATGGGGTATGTGTAGTCCCAAAGATTTTCTCTGGCTAGGCATCTGGTTCCTAGGTTCTTTGGCTAGAGAAAAGGGGTCTTCTAGGAGCCTCTATCTATCTATCAATCTATCATTTTGCTCATATCGTAGTTGTTTGAAATCTTGACATCTCTATATCTATCTGCTGTGTCTACAGGGAGGTAATGAGGACCCAAGGTCTCCAAACCACTGTGTTCTCCAGTGTGAGAATGTAGGAAGTCTGCCTTGTTCTTTTCACACTGGAAGTCTACTTCTGCTTTGATTGACTAGGTCCAGTGTATATAAGATTTCTTGGCCCCAGAGACCAGAGAAGGAGACTGACAACATCATCCCATCAGGAGCTCATTAAGGGAAGTCACATTCAAGGTGGGTTTTGGAAAGAGACAGGACCCCTTGGATTTGCCCTGTGCCTTCCACCCCCAGGCTATGTGCTGCGTCTTTGAACTAATGAGCTTATCTGGTGGGAAAGGATTGTGTCTTTAACCTAAGGGTGGGGCACCCTGGGTTCTGTCACTAGAGCTGGTATAAAGACAGATAAAGACCAGGGAGGAGCACAAAGTCTTTGTGTTGACTGGGGGAGTGTGGGGGGAAGGACAGCAAAAGTCAAAATTGGGTTCCAGATGGAGTTGCTTTGGCTGCACAGCCAGGAGTTTATACTTGAAGAGACTGTGGGAACAATGGGGCTCTTCACAGGAATTCAATCTCGAAATTCTCATGGAATAGAATCCTAATGGTTTATTTCAGCCCTTGGATGAATGAGATACTGTACATTTCTGGTTCTACAGAGATTAGGTATATATAAATAAGTGGCTAGAAAACATGATTAATATTTTCATATTTTTTTCCTTAGCATAGATGAACATGACCATAAAACACGTGGTCGTGGTTTCTGTGTGAAAGGCTGAATCTCTGCTCAGGAGCCTTGCCCTGCACCAGAGGTTGGCCTTGAACTTCACCCTCCCAGGAGAAATGGGAGTCTATTTTCATTCCCATGTGAGTTATTTCAAACCTTTAATTTTGTAATAATTTTGCACTTACAGAGCAACTGTCAGTAAAAAATCAATTTTCCATAACTATCACTTATATTTCCTCTAACATTACAGTCTTGAAAAACTAGTGCCATTTTTACAAACTGAGATGCAAACATTGGTAAGACAACATTACCTAACTGCAGGTTGGATTTAAATTTCATGAAATATCCAGTACATTCTTTTTAGATTCTGAGAACCAGTCCAGGATTCCATAATGCCATAAATGTGAAAGAAAACAATCACAGATAAATATATATATAGTTCCAACATGCCAGATATTAAGCTTTTTTCTTTAAAATTGATTTTGTGTTGAGTTGAAATAAAGTTTTTTCTAAGATTTTTTAACAAAGGTGAGTACACTAAATAAAAGGACAATTTTATACTCTGCTTCTCCCCTCATGGCCCAGTGCCAGGTGCCCTGGGGAACCAGGAGTGGAGACACCGCCTGCAGACCCTCCCCTGTCCCTGCGCCAGGGGAGGCGGACCAGGGCTGGGAGGAGTGTTTCTGGAAGCCACTTCTAAACAGGTGTCTTCTCAGAGCATCAATATTCATGTAAGCCCTGGAAATCTTCTCAACTTGTGGCTGTAGTTTTCCATTTAGAAACCAGGGAAAAGAGAAATCAGCTCACAGTTTTCACTGATGACCTGACATTTTAAACCAGTTTCTGAAGGTTCCAGATCTATGAAGGTTGATTTAGGAGAGAAAGTGACCAAGAATTTAACTGGATTACATTTTGCACAAGTGTTCAAGAATAATTTTATAATAAAAGTACAGGTATATTTAAAACTTTAGTGTTCCTAAAATACTTTAGGAGAGAGCTTGTTAAAAAACTGATTTGCTCACAAACACACCTTGTGACTCAGCAGCCTAGTCAGGGGACCAGCATTACCTAAAAGCTCCCAGTGACACCCTCATTTAAATGCCAATAAAATATTCCCATTGCCCACAGGCTTAATCAAAACACGAGTACATCTTGCTAAAGCTCCTGGAACACCGGCAGGATTACACAGGGCAGTGGAGGCTCGAAGTCTCTCTGATGGTTAATGTGTCTGCACTCATCCCTCACCCCACCATGGTTCTAGGGACAGGGGACGAGAGGAAGCCCATTGTGCCAGGGTCACATGGGACACATGGGCACTCCCTGGGGGAGCCTGGAGGAAGCACATGGAGAGGAGCCACTGGACGTGGGAATGGGGCCCTGGAACCTCTCTCCTTGGTATACTGACCATTTCCACCCTGTCTCTTTCCTTCTGTTCCTAAAGCTGAGACATTCTGAGCACTAGAAGGGGTTTAGGTTGCACTTCCCCATGAGGTCACTTCACTGTGTAAGTATAACTACCCATGGCCAGTAATAGTCGGCCTCGTCCTCAGGCTGGGCGCCCATGATGGTGAGGACGGCTTTGTTTCCAGAGATGGATCCAGAGAAGTGCTCAGGGACCCCAGAATGTTGTTTCTTTGTTTCATAGATGAGCATGAGGGGAGCCTTGCCTGGGGTCTGCTGGTACCAGCCGGGGTAGTGACTACTAGAGACTGACCCAGAGCTCAGGCGACAGGTGAGTGTGACTGTCCCTCCTGGAGAAACAGACAGTAATGGCTCCTGAGTCACCACAGTCTGAGAATCCACACCTAAAACCAACAGGAAAGACATGGGTGTTGTTATGAGAGACCAGATCACCCCAAGACCCTGCTTTGTTGTGTCCCCCAAGATTACAGAGTCCCTTCCTCTGACCTGAGCTGTAAGTGAGGAGCCCGAGCAGGAGCACCATCCAGGCCATGGTGGAGGCCCACTCAGGACATGACCTACTCAGGCACTTGGGGTGGAAGGAGGTGTGTTGGGGCCTTTTCTTGCCTCCCAGACCCACTAGGAGGAGGAGCTGCGTCATGCAAATAAGCTTCCTCTCTTGGTGCCACAGTGTCATCCTGATGTCCCCTGGGGTGAGTGGAAAGAGAAGATGCTGGAACTCACACAGACCAGTGAAGATAGAGCTACTCAGCCACTGAAGGAACAGAGTCCCCCTCTTTCACCAAATCAGGGAGTGAGGAGGGTGAGGAGCAGAGGGACCTGGGCCATGATGGGGAAGCCCCAGCGCTCTGCCTGCTCAGGCCTGGTTGTATCAACTGAGACTCTCCCATCTCCAAGGGTCTTTTGTCTTGTGTCCAGCAAGAATCACGGGCCCAGTTTCCTCATGTATATTGGCTTTTGTTGTGTGTCTGTCCCCCTGAAACTGTCTGTCTGCACACCTGGTAGAATCAACTCCTGAAGGGGAAGATGAATGTGAAGCAAGGGTGTGAGTCAGACCTCAGGGCTCATGTAGCTCCTGGGGACCCTGGTGATGGCATGTGACACACAATTAGGGCACTGCTTGCCCTAACAGACAACCTTCAGAAAAGTAGTTTCCTAGTTCTCCTGTCCAGGAACCCAGTCCTCCCAGGACCAAGCAACAGCGCCCCTCTAGTCCAGCCCTCATGCCCCAGGCCTCCTGATCCTCCCAGCTCTCCTGCAAGGGTTGGCGGGGATGACTTTTGCAGTTGGATGTTATCTGCTGTCACTGACTAAGGCAGTACATTGAGTAGGTCCCTGCAGTGTGGATTGGGTCCCAGACACTGATTTTCCACATCCCTAATGACATCTGAAGAGTTAAAAACAGGACGTGGAGCAGAGAGCTTGTTACTAGATATTTCAGGGCCACCTGGGAACACCTGTGCACTGCTCATTCTTACAGGTTAACTTATGCCACTGCTGTTGCTGGTGGGAGGGTCTCCTGCCCGTCCCCACCCCCCATTGCACAGGCTGAAACTTTGATCCCTGTGTGAGAATGAGAGGCATCATTGTCTGGGATCTGTGTTCTGCTCTTCCTTACTGCTATGGGTCCCCTTGGCATCCTGTGTCAGCCTGGTGATGCCTTATTTGCTTGTGACTGTCCAATATATTTCTGACATTAGAGTCTAAATAATTGTTTCCTCAGAGAAATGTTAATAAAAACAGGGAATCAACTTTCTGTCAGGTGATAGGTTTCAGTTTACAGGATCCATGCCCAAATGACTGACGTTTATCTGACATCCTCCCACCCAAACTACTGGACAGGGAAACACCTTGGAGGTCCTGACGCTGAGCTAGGACAGTGAGGACTCGAGGGTCTGAGAGCCTCTCCTCCATGGGAGGCTCTGCCCAGCCCTGGAGATGCAGGGGCCCTGCAGAGCTCTGATCTCAGGGGACAGGGAGACCCAGCTTCTATAAGGTCTCAGAGCTCAGGGAGATAACAGGGGAACCCAGGATGCCACCAGGAGACACACAGGGCCCTGGGCACGGGCCACCTGGTTCTCTCAGTCACACACGATGCACTTCTGTCCTCCTCCTTACCCAGCCACTTAGCAGATATTTTGCTTTTTGGTATAAAAGAATTTTGTTTGAGTTCGGAGACGAATGACCCCAAAGCAGATGTTTCCACTTACTTTCTAAGGATGGACTGAGTCAAGTTCTGGCTGCCCTGGCTTTAGTAGCACAAGGGACAGCAGAAGCCCAAAACTGAGCTGATGTTGCTCATGGGCAGGGACAGGGGAGCAATGGGTCAGACAGGATAGAAGAGTGCGGATTTGACCATGTGTCCACATGGAGAAGGAGCTCTCTGTGGCATTGGGGTTGTGTCTGTTTCTCTAATGATGAACTGCAGCCTGAGCCTCAGACTGGAGCCCAGAGGTGATCACACAGGTTCTGGTCACAGACTTGGATCAGGATCGTCAAGTTGGACCCCCTGGAAGGTGCTTCTGTGCTGTCTCAGGTAGGAAAGCGGAGGTCCTTCCTTGGGGCCATGGGGACATTTACCATGGCACCTCCTGTGGGTCTGGAGCTCCCTGTGCAAGAGAAGGTGACCTCATCTCTGCGCTGATTGAGAGCTTCACAGGTGGTGTGACACTGGAAGAGATTGGAGAGCACCCACTCTTGGTGCCCCTCCACCGAGTCCCCACCCTGGACTGTTGGAGAGCTGCAGGAGGGTGTTGGGGAGGGGCACAGTCAGTGCCTGTGGACACAATGATCCACTCCCAGGAGTCCCCAGGGCCCTGAGCAGTGTCTGCTGTCAGAGTGTCTCATCCAGGGACCCACTTTACCCTGGAGGAAGATTGGCAATTCCCCAGCAAAGTTAGACAATCCCCCATCCTCTCCTATCTTGGTAAGAGGTCTCCTGGACTCTGGCCCCAACTTTTCCCTTGGACAAACCCTCTTATCCTTGACCTCACTCCTGAAGGTGCAGGTACCCAGCCAGGGGTCTGGGCCACTCTGTGCCTGGAGTTCCTGCCACACCTGTGTCCTCACCTGGCATCTCAACACCCTTTACTGTGTCCCAGGGACCCAGGGTGCTCAGGCAGCCTTGAGCTCAGGGACTGGAAAGGAGGGAGGGGCTCTAATTTGAGCCCAGGTTTGGTGTCTTCACATCAAACCATCTCCATATGCCTCTCCTCCCTCAGCTGCAGGCAGGTCATGTGGACATTGAGCAGTGTTTTCCCAGGGCTCCAATGTCCTTTATGGTTTTGTTATGGTTTCTACTTCTTTGCTGAGATGTCCTACCTGTTCTTTCATTGCAGGTGGATGCCACTCCAGTTGTCCAATGAATGTATAAATATGTATGGGGATGGCTGATAGTGAGCGTCTGACCATAAACTAGATGTGTATTCATTTATTTTGGCCTCCATGTATCTCAGGATAGTCAGTACCTCTCATTTTGACAGAACCTTCAGTTTTTTAGAGTTGTGTTTCAGTGTTTCTTAATTTGGATGCCATCATACATTTTTTATTTTATTTTGTTATTTAAAAAGTCCTCACCCAGTGATATGATTGTTTATTTTAGACAATGAGGAAAAGTGAGGGAGAGACAGAGATTGAGATCAATGTGAGAAGTGTCAGCCGGTTTTCTGCCATAAGCTCTGGACTGAGGACAAGCCTGTGCCCTCGGTGTGTCCCCTGCCCAGGATCACCCCGCTGCCTTTCTCCATGTGGACTGATGCTCCAACCAACTGAGCCCCCCAAGCAGGCCCATCATAAATGTCTTCCCACTTGTATTGGTAAGTTTTGTTTTCTTGTTAATTATTGATGGTTTACTGCTAGTGTGTACATTGCCGTTCACTTCTGCATGCTGCTTTTGTACCTCAAAATCCTGATTAAAGCATTTAGAGAAGAAACATCACCAATTGTTCCCAGGACTCAGAGCTGGGCATGGCCAGTACCAACCACTGTCCGCACCTGCAGCATCTCCGCTGGGAGGTTTCCTCCCTGAGAAGAGCTCTCTGCCTCTGGGACAGGAACAGGTGAGACATAATGGCGATGGTGAGTCTCAGTGAGAGATGGGGGGAAGGTCAGATGGCTGTTACAAGGAAGCTCAGGTCCCGTATGCAGAAGAGACAACAGATGTGAGCCCTGCATTAGGCTTGGATTCACTCAGAGCAGAGGTGAGCTTCCCCGGAAGGAGGAGCCCAGGGAGGTGTCAGTTCCACTACCCTGTGTAAGGGAACACTGTGTAAAATAACTGCTACTGTGAGGTACTCCACAGCAATAGACCCCTTGTTCTCAGATTGGGCCCCTGTGATGGTGAGGATGGCTTTGATCCCAGGGATGGATCAGGAGAAGTGCTGAGGGACCCCAGGGGTCCAGTGTTTATGTTGTTGATGAGGGTGCGGGTAGCTGGCCTGGGGTCTTCAGGAACCATCTGGCGTAGTTACCACTGGAGACTGACCCAGAGCTAGCACCACAGGTGAGTGTGACTGTCCCTCCTGGAGACACAGACAATGACAGCTCCTGGGTGACCCCAGTCTGAGAATCCACACCTAATACCAACAGGAAAGACACAAATGTTGTTATGACAAACATGATTGCCCCAAGACCCTGCTTTGTTGTGTCGCCCAAGAATGCAGAGTCCCTTCCTCTGACCTGAGCTGTAAGTGAGAAGCCCGAGCAGGAGCACCATCCAGGCCATGGTGGGGACACTCACAGGACACCACCTCCTCACCCCCCTGGGCTGGAGGGTGGTGTCCTTGGGGCTTTTCATGCCTCCCAGACCCATTAGGTGGAGGAGCTGCTTCATGACCCTCAGGTTCCTCTCTCTTCCTGCCCCAGTGTCACCCTGATGTCTCCTGGGGAGTTTTGGAAAGAGGCAGATGCTGGGACTTCACACTGACCAGTCAGGGACTGCACAGTGACAGAGGCACTGAGTGAGGGAACTGATGTGTGCCACCAAATCTGTCCCCCACATTCCTGATGACCTGAATCCTGAATTTCATTCCTCGAGAGTCTGGGGTTCACAGTTGAGATGGCTGTGTTCTCCCCTCCTGCCCTCAGTGATCCGTTCTAGACCATCCCCAGTCCCACCCTGTCCCTGGGAACACTCTTCCCTCTTCAGGGTCATCCTTCCTCATCTTCTTTGGAGGATCTTAGCAGTCACTCCTCTGCCCACCTCTGAGTCCTCTGTGACTTCGCAGAGCTTGTGTCTGAGCTGTGAAGGGACAGGGGTGTCCCCCTGACTCCATCCAGGGCCCTGCCCCAGTAGCCGTGGTCAGTGGAAGCGGTTGGGGTTGTGACACAGACTGATGCACCACCAGGCATGGATGTCTCCTCTGCTTTGCTGTATAAACTACCTATTGTGTCAAGTGTCTCCGTGAAGTTATGAGATCCTATTAGTGTCTGAAAAGGTAGTAGGAACATGTATGTCGTTATCTGTCATGAGAACAGCGCTGTGTGTGAGCCCCTGGGTGTGCAGGTGATAGAAGATTTAAATCCCCCTTCCCT